TATTTCCCACCGTAAAGCATGGAGGATTAGGTGTTATGTTGTGGGAGTGCTTTGCTGGTGACACTGTCTGTGATTTATTTAGAATTCAAGGCACACTTAACCAGCATGGCTACCACAGCATTCTGCAGCGATACGCCATCTCATCTGGTTTGGGTATAATGGGACTATCATTTGTTTTTCAACAGGACAATGACCCAACACACTTCCAGGCTGTGTAAGGGCTATTCTACCAAGGAGAGTGATGGAGTGCTGCATCAGATGACCTGGCCTCCACAATCCCCCGACCTCAACCCAATTGAGATGGTTTGGGACGAGTTGGACTGCAGAATGAAAGAAAAGCAGCCAACAAGTGCTCAGCATATGTGGGAACTCCTTCAAGACTGTTGGAAAAGCATTCCTGGTGAAGCTGGTTGAGGGAATGCCAAGAGTGTGCAAAGCTGTCGTCAAGGCAAAAGGGTGGCTATTTGAAGAATCTAAAATGTCAAATATATTTTGATTTGTTTAACACTTTTTTGGTTACTACATGATTCCATATGTGTTATTTCATAGTTTGGATGTCTTCACTATTATTCTACAATGTAAAAAATAGTAAAAATAAAGAAAAACCCTTGAATGAGTAGGTGTGTCCAAACTTTTGACTGGTAGTGTGTATATATATATATATATATATATATATATATATATATATATATGTATATAATTTTTTTACACATATACTGAACAAAAATATAAATACAACACGTAAAGTGTTGTTCCCATGTTTCATGAGCTGAACTAAAATATCCCAGAACATTTCCATATGCACAAAAAGCGTAGTTCTCTTAAATTTTGTGCACAAATTTGTTTACATCCATGTTAGTGAGCATTTCTCCTTTGCTAAAATAATCCATCCACCTGACAGGTGTGGCATATCAAGAAGCTGATTAAACTGCATGATCATCACATACATTCACCTTGTGCTGGGGACAATAAACAGCCACTTTAAAATGTGCAGTTTTGTCACACAACACAATGCTACAGATGTCTCAACATTTGAGGGAGCATGCAACTGGCATGCTGACTGCAGGAATGTCCACCAGAGCTGTTGCCAGAGAATTTAATGTTAATTTCTCTACCATAAGCAGTCTTCAACGTCGTTTTAGAGAATTTGGCAGTATGTCCAACTGGCCCCAAAACTGCAGACCACATGTAACCATGCCAGCCCAGGACCTCCACATCTGGCTTCTTCAGGATAATCTGAGACAAGTCACACGGACAGCTGATGTAACTGTGGGTTTTGCACAACTGAAGGATTTCTGCACAAACTGTCAGAAACCGTCTCAGGGAAGCTCAGCTCGTCGTCCTCACCAGGGTCTTGACCTGACTGCAGTTCATCGTTGTAACGGACTTCAGTGGGCAAATGCTCATTTTCGATGGCCATTGGCACGCTGGAGAAGTGTGCTCTTCATGGATGAATCCCGGTTTCAACTGTACAGATGGCAGACAGCGTGTATGGCGTCGTGTGGGCGAGCCGTTTGCTGATGTCAACGTTGTGAACAGAGTGCCCCACGGTGGCGGTGGGGTTATGGTATGGGCAGGCATAAGTTACGGACAATGAAAACAATTGTATTTGATCTATGGCAATTTGAATGCACAGCGATACCGTGATGAGATCATGAGGCCCATTATCGTTCCATTCATCCGCCGCCATCACCTCATGTTTCAGCATGATAATGCATGGCCCCATGTTGCAAGGATCTGTACACAATGTCTGGAAGCTGAAAATGTCCCAGTTTTTCCGTGGCCTGCATATTCACCAGATATACCAGCCATTGAGCATGTTTGGAATGCTCTGGATGGATGTGTACGACAGCGTGTTCCAGTTCCCTCCAAAATCCAGCAACTTCGCACAGCCATTGAAGAGGAGTGGGACAACATTCCACAGGCCACAATCAACAGCCTGATCAACTCTATGCAAAGTAGATGTGTCACGCTGCATGAGGCAAATGGTGGTCACACCAGATACTGACTGGTTTTCTGATCCACGCCCCTATCATTTTTTTAAAGGTATCTGTGACCAACAGATGCATATCTCTTTTCCCAGTCATGTGAAATCCATAGATTAGGGCCTAATGAATGTATTTCAATTGACTGATTTCCTTATATGAACTGTAACTCAGTAAAATCTTTGAAATTGTTGCATGTTCAGTTAATATTTTTGTTCAGTGTATTTAACCCCTTCTTTTTGATGGCACAAAACTACCTCCATACTTCCATTAGTTTGTATGGGTTACCTTCAGATGAGTCCTGTGTGACACTTGTGGTGGTTGTAGAGCAAAACGGAGCACACCACCATGTACGGACGCTACAGACAGAAGTTGGCACATCAGCGTTACCCACTTCAGACTCCCCCCATGACACTTGTTGGAGTCGTAGAGCAAAACGGAGAACACCATCGTGTTCGTGAGTCTCTCCTCTCCATAATCGTTTTTTTAGACCAAACCATTCAGACGCTACAGAGGTTTTCGTGAGAAGACTGATTTTCAGGATGTCTCATGGTCTGACAAACACCGCTGTAGCTCGGCCACCTTCCACCAAAGATGCGGAAGGCCGGCACAGGCGGATGAGTTGGATTGAGACGCAGCCCATGCAAAGAAACTGATGATATCTTTAGCTTAAACGGACTAATTTTGATGGGAATTTTTTTATTGTGTTACATAGATTGACACACAGTTGCTGGGGTAACTCACAGTGTGTCTGGGTGTAGGGTCCAGGAGATAGAGGTGATCAAAGCCCCAGGCAGGCAGTCGGGGGATACAGTATATAGCGATACTCATACCTCCTCCTTTGTAAAGCGTTAGCTAGTGAAGCTTGTGGGTGACATTGAACGCACCCATTGTTTTCAGGTTGTCATAAGGGACTACAAAGATCAGGTGAGATGAGGTGCGTTTCCCCCTGTACAAAAGCCTTCAGAGGCTGCGTTTAGACATAGCCCAATTCTTATATTTTTCCCACTAAGTGGTCTTTTTGACCAATCACATCAGATCTTTTCACATCAGATATTTATCAGAGCTGATCTGATTGGTCAAAGTTGGGATGTCTGTGTAAACGCAGCCAGAGAAGCATACTGCTGAGAACACACCTTAATTTGTATTTACAGTGCATTCAGAAAGTATTCAGACCCCTTGCCTTTTTACACATTTTGTTAAGTTACAGCCTTATTCTAAAATTGATTAAACATTTTCCTCATCAACCTACACGCAATACCCCATAATGACAAATCGAAAACAGGGTTTTTGAAATGTGTGGAATTTCTTTCCTTCTTAATGCGTTTGAGCCAATCAGTTGTATTGTGACAAGGTAGGGGGGGGGTATACAGAAGATAGCCCTATTTTTCTACAATGTAGAAAATAGTAAAAATAAAGAAAAACCCTTGAATGAGTAGGTGTGTCCAAACTTTTGACTGGTATTGTATTTCTTTCATCATGTGAGATATGTTTGACTAGGTTTATCCTTATCACATTTACCTTTTATGTTATGCAACCTGTTCATGATGTCTCTCCTTTGTTGCAGAACGACACGCAAACCATTACCATGTCCAACCACCAGTCCTCAATAAATATGTCAACATCTGTTTGCTCTCTGACCGGAGCATAGTACCCCTGGTGACAGCTATCCACCCAGTTATCTATCTTGGGTTCCTGAGCCTATTTTTCACCCCCCTTACAGTGCATTGAGCATGTGGAAAAGCACTATATAAAGGCAATCAATTATTATCTGAGCAAAGAAGACAGTTCCTGTTTGTGAAACTTATTGTAGTGGTATTATTTACTGTACAAAACAGCTTGTCCATTCAGTGACGTCCTCACTCTGTGTCTGCTGTGTCTTTGGTGTTGTCACTATCTATCTGAAATTATAAACTGTGTGGGTCGAGCCCTGAATGCTGATTGGCTGAAAGCCGTGGTATATCAGACCGTATACCACGGGTATGACAAAATATTTCATTTTACTGCTCTAATTACATTATAAACAGTTTATAATAGCAATAAGGCACCTCAGGGGTTTGTGGTATATTGCCAATATACCACGGCTAAGGACTGTATCCAGGCACTCCGCGTTGTGTCATGCATAAGAACAGCCCTTAGCCGTGGTATATTGGCAATGTACCACACCCCCTCGGCCTTATTGCTTAAAAGTATAATCTCTGTCACTGTAAAACCCAACAGCAAACAAACAGTATCAAACAACATTGTCATAACTGTACATATCATACAAATTCATTATACAAATGGTTTCTCCAAAGAATTGCCGACTTGAAATTCCAGACGACGTCGGCAAAAATAGTATTTTACTGTAAAATGTAACGGTGTAAAACCAGTAGCCAGATCTTAAAAAGGCTTTGTCCAGCATTTTGTTTAAAAGGCAACGTTATAGTATACCATTTATAAGACCAGTCCACTAGCGTTTCTTTCATTGTGAAATTAGACCACAGGTGTGAAACACATTTGAATGCTTTGTGTCATTGGGTGAGGCAACAGAGCAAAAAGAACCACAGATCATCCACAAATATCGTACACATAGTACTATATATATACTATACTATATAGCTGAACAGTTAATATGTTGACATACTGTATTCATGGAAACATATTATGCACAATATAGTCAATATGTCTCAGACACGATCTGTTGTCAAAACTTCCTTTTGGGGTCCAAGGCTAGTGACCCGTAATGTCAATCCACAGCCTCTGAGCATGGCAGGTTCCTTCCACATCTTCGTTCCACCATGGAGCTCAGGTGAGATTCTTGTGGGTCTGGAGGCCTAGAACATCCAGTCCCTGTGACAACTTCCTGGTCTGTGGGGTAATGGAGGGCTGTGAGGGATCACCCCTCGTTGAACACACCCTTGAAGCTCATGTGGTGAGCCTAGATGAGCTGCAGTAGTGAGCAACACCAACTTCCTGTCCCTGTGATGACAACATACTGTCCCAAGGACTTCCTTTTCCTGTTTCGGCCGGTTGCTAGGAGATCTTGCAGCTGTTGCCGGTGCAGCTCTGTGCGGCCGCCGGGCTGAGCTGCGGAGGGCGGATACATTTTTTATTTTTGAGCAGCTGGCCTCCGGTCCTCTTGGTGGCGATGTGGGTGGTGTTGACGGCAGTGACGGAGTAGGAGCTTCCGTGCATCATGCGGGCATTGAGGCCGTTGGCCATGGAGAAAGACTTGAGGTGGGACTTGAGGGCCAGGGGGAGAGGAAGCTTGTCAACCAGGTGGACAGGGGTGCAGGACACGATGGAACGACAGCACAGGTCCTGGAGACTCAACACTAAGAAAGAGAGAGAAAGGAGAGAGAGAAGGAGAGAGAGAGAGAGAGAGAGAGAGAGAGAGAGAGAGAGAGAGAGAGAGAGAGAGGAGAGAGAGAGAGAGAGAGAGAGAGAGAGAGAGAGAGAGAGAGAGAGAGAGAGAGAGAGAGAGAGAGAGAATATTTAATATTTCACAAATAGCAATAATACACCACGAGAGGGCACTATTGTGTTAAACAGAGACAGAGACAGAGAGAGCGACAGAGAGAGAGACAGAGAGAGCGAGAGAGAATAAGCTGCTCTAGGCTCAGTGTTCACTGCCTCACCTTTGTTGGGTCTCCAAAGTCTCTCCATACCGTGCCTCATCAGGACTATCCTGGCCAGCTCTGTGAAGGACTCTGTGATGTTGAAGTTGCACAGCGGGCTGACCTCGAAGAAGGTGACCCCTAACCTCTCAGCGTACAGCTGGGCCTGCTCCGTGGTCACCTGACGCTTGTAGGCCAGGTGTAACCGGTTACCCACTAGGATCTTGGGCACTCCTGGCGCATGCTGGGTAGACAGGAAGGGAAACAAGAAGTGGTGAGGTACAGATTCTGTTAGTACACCAGGATGGATAAGGGCGTGTGTGTTGCATAGTGTTCCTCCCTGTATTCAGTAACATAACGTGGCAATACAAAGGGGGGCAAAAAGCTTTTCAAGAATCAATCGTTGAGTATCCTAGCATATTTTATTTTCACTGAAGTTGAATAATATTATTCACATAACATGAGCTATCTTGGAAGTCCAACTCAGTGTGTGGTTAGTTTATGAGTGTGGGTGAGTTGTTTTGGAGCAGAGACGAGAGGCGTGGGTTGGAGTTCTGAGAAGGTTTAGTCATTCTCACAAGCAGATATTGAGCAACGTGTCTTACATCATAGAGCGATTCAGTGATGTGGTCTGCGTCCCAAATGGCACTATATTCCCTTTAAAGTGCACTACTTTTGACCAGAACCCTTTGGGGAATAGGGAGCGATTGATCGATGTCTCTTACCTCATCTATCTCCTTTATCCATCTGTCAATACCATCGAAGGACCATCGGTTGGTGATGTCATAGACCAAGATCACACCCTGAGAGAGAGAGAGCGAGAGATGGGGCAGGGGTATTGTGAAAATAGAGAGAGACATCATAAAAACAACAATGGAATGGTATCTAGCATGCACTCTAAAACACTCTCTCTCTCTCTCTAAGGGGAGATGCACATTATAATGTGTAATATTGTGTACAGCAGGCTACTCAAATTAAATTGAGGTCAGAGAAAATGAAGCATACTATTCCATTAATGGTGGGAGAGTGTAAACTATTAAAAGGGAAATGCACATTACTGTATAAATCCAATTAGCTAGAGTAGTCTGTCCAACAGCTATTAAGTTTCACTTAATTAAAAAAACAAAGTTTTTTATAAAGTTTTTATTAAGTGCTGGTGGCACCAGCAACTAACACTGAGTATTCAAGCCAATTCTTCATCACTATGCATTCCATAGAACTGTTAGAGAAGCCAGAGATATTTGTGTGAGACTTCTATTTGTTGTATCCTGACCTGACTGCACACACACAATGTACACACACACACACACACACACACACACACACAGTTGAACTCTGATGACTATAGTTATGGTGTGGACACAGTGTTCAAGAAGCACAGCCTTCTGCCTCGCTATGGCAGGGGGTGTCATTGTCACCATGGTAACAGCCAGTCTATGGTCGGTAACGGGCCAATGAGTAATAATTCAAAAAATAATAACTTTATTCACAAAGTAATTTTCATTCATCGCCTGGTATGTGAGAATTCTCAGTAGCCGATCAGCCGTGGTTCAGGATTGGGTAAAGCCAGTAGGGTTCAGTAGTAGCCTATCAATGATGTGGTTGAACTAAATTGATATCCTACATGGTAAAAGGACTGGATCCACTAACAATTTATCATTAAAAAGTGTTGTTTTTTAACAGGCCCATCCACTGCACCCTCCACCATGTTTAGATAGGTGCACCCAGCCACCCATCCTGTACTGTTTCCACAGGAAAGGGTGCTGGGGTCAGTAGTGAGGGTGCTGATATACAAATGGATGTGAAAACATGTACAATGTACTCATGTGTTATGGCTTTACACCCCCCTGCTATATTGTGGATAAAGAGTTACTTGTCTAACAGAGGGTGTTCTTTAATGGAAGCCTCTCCAACCTAATCCAGGTAGAATCAGGGATTTCCCAGGGCAGCTGTCTAGGCCCCTTACTTTTTTCAATCATTACTAACGACATGCCACTGGCTTTGTGTATAGCGGATGACTCAACACTATACACGTCAGCTACTACAGCAACTGAAATAACTGCAACACTTAAAGAGTTGCAGTTAGTTTCAGAATGGGTGGCAAGGAATAAGTTAGTCCTAAATATTTCCAAAACTAAAAGCATTGTATTTGGGACAAATCAGTCACTAAACCCTAAACCTCAACTACATATCGTAATGCATAATGTGGAAATTGAGCAAGTTGAGGTGACTAAACTGCTTGGAGTAACCCTGGATTGTAAACTGTTATGGTCAAAACATATTGATACAACAGTAGCTAAGATGGGGTCTGTCCATAATAAAGCACTTCTCTGCCTTCTTAACAACACTATCAACAAGGCAGGTCCTACAGGCCCTAGTTTTGTCGCACCTAGACTACTGTTCAGTAGTGTGGTCAGGTGCCACAAAAAAGGACTTCGGAAAATTGCAGTTGGCTCAGAACAGGGCAGCACGGCTGGCCTTTAAAAGTACACGGAGAGCTAACATTAATGATATGCATGTCAATCTCTCATGGCTCAAAGTGGAAGATAGATTGATGTAATCACTACTTGTTTTTGTAAGAAGTGTTGACAAGCTGAATGTACCGAGCTGTCTGTTTAAACTACTAGCACACAGCCAGGACACCCTTGCATACCCCACAAGACATGCCACCAGAGGTCTCTTTACAATCCCCAAGTCCAGAACAGACTATGGGAGGCGCACAGTACTACATAGAGCCATGACTACATGGAACTCTATTCCACATCAGGTAACTGATGCAAGCAGTAGAATCCAATTTGAAAAAACAGCTAAAAATACACCTTATGGAAGAGCGGGGACTGTGAAGAGACACACACAGGTACAGACACATGCATACGCATACATTGTAATATTGTTGTATGGTGGTATTATACATTTTGTATTGTACATTTTGTATTGTAGATATGTAGTGGTGTAATAATGTTATATGATGTACTCTTTTATATTTTGTTTTATATCTAATGTAAGTGCTTTAATGTATTGGACCCCAGGAATACAAATACAAACAACTCACATGCACCCTCTATAATATTAACACAGACACTAACACTTGTGCATATGTAGGCCTACAGCATAGTATTTACAGGTAGTCTGTGGTGGTGATTCTAAAACATTTTCAAAACAGGCTGCTATGTTCTTTATATTGAAATTCTCAAGCTATTCCTTTCCTCAGAGATTAAATCTGTCCTTTGAGTGAGGTTTTCGCAGAACCAAGGTTTTATACATTAGGGTTTACTGAGCAGTAAGCACAGGTTTTATACATTAGGGTTTACACACACACACACACACCTGTGCTCCTCTGGAGTAGGAGCGGAAGATGGTGCAGAAGCGCCCCTGGCCAGATGTGTCCCTGAAACAACACACAAAGGTCAGAGGTCAGGGGTTAAAGGGTCAGCAGGTCATCCACCTGTCAATCAAATCACACAGCATTCCATCCCTAATCTCATGACCTTATTCAGGGCAAGGCATCTGGGTCGTTCCACAAATTCTCTGCCTTTTGAGAAGTGTAACTTGGTTAAAAAAAATAGTTTGATTTCATTTTTTTTTTTAACATTCTGTCATAAAGAGCACATGTTCAACTTAATAAAAAAAACTAGTTTTTTATTAAGAGTTGAACCAGCTCACCTGCTTTTACACTATGATTTGACTATTAGATGTTCAATGTTTCTTTTGAAAAATATAGTAAAAAAGGAATAGTTTCACCATATTAAAATGAGAGTTCAGTTCACATACACTTAGGTTGGAGTCATTAAAACTCGTTTTTCAACCACTCCACAAATGTCTTGTTAACAAACTATAGTTTTGGCAAGTCGGTTAGGACATCTACTTTGTGCATGACAAGTAATTTTTCCAACAATTGTTTACAAACAGATTATTTCACTTATAATTCACTGTATCACAATTCCATTGGGTCAGCAGTTTACATACACTAAGTTGACTGTGCCTTTAAACAGCTTGGAAAATTCCAGAAAATTATGTCAAGGCTTTAGAAGCTTCTGATAGGCTAATTGCCATCATTTGAGTCAATTGGAGGTGTACCTGTGGATGTACAAACTCAGTGCCTCTTTGCTTGACATAATGGGGGAAAAAAAAAAAAAAATCAGCCAAGACCTCAGAAATATAAAATTGTAGACCTATCAAATCAAATCAAATTTTATTGGTCACATGCGCCGAATACAACAGGTGCAGACATTACAGTGAAATGCTTACTTACAGCCCTTAACCAACAGTGCATTTATTTTAAACAAAAAAAGTAAAAATAAAACAACAACAAAAAAAGTGTTGAGAAAAAAAAAGAGCAGAAGTAAAATAAAGTGACAGTAGGGAGGCTATATATACAGGGGGGTACCGTTGCAGAGTCAATGTGCGGGGGCACCGGCTAGTTGAGGTAGTTGAGGTAATATGTACATGTGGGTAGAGTTAAAGTGACTATGCATAAATACTTAACAGAGTAGCAGCAGCGTAAAAAGGATGGGGTGGGGGGCAGTGCAAATAGTCCGGGTAGCCATGATTAGCTGTTCAGGAGTCTTATGGCTTGGGGGTAGAAGCTGTTGAGAAGTCTTTTGGACCTAGACTTGGCACTCCGGTACCGCTTGCCGTGCGGTAGCAGAGAGAACAGTCTATGACTAGGGTGGCTGGAGTCTTTGACAATTTTGAGGGCCTTCCTCTGACACCGCCTGGTATAGAGGTCCTGGATGGCAGGAAGCTTTGCCCCAGTGATGTACTGGGCCGTACGCACTACCCTCTGTAGTGCCTTGCGGTCGGAGGCCAAGCAGTTGCCATACCAGGCGGTGATGCAACCAGTCAGGATGCTCTCGATGGTGCAGCTGTAGAATTTTTTGAGGATCTGAGGACCCATGCCAAATCTTTTTAGTCTCCTGAGGGGGAATAGGCTTTGTCGTGCCCTCTTCACGACTGTCTTGGTGTGTTTGGACCATGATAGTTCGTTGGTGATGTGGACACCAAGGAACTTGAAGCTCTCAACCTGTTCCACTACAGCCCCGTCGATGAGAATGGGGGCGTGCTCAGTCCTCTTTCTTTTCCTGTAGTCCACAATCATCTCCTTTGTCTTGGTCACGTTGAGGGAGAGGTTGTTGTCCTGGCACCACACGGCCAGATCTCTGACCTCCTCCCTATAGGCTGTCTCATCGTTGTCGGTGATCAGGCCTACCACTGTTGTGTCGTCGGCAAACTTAATGATGGTGTTGGAGTCGTGCCTGGCCATGCAGTCATGGGTGAACAGAGAGTACAGGAGGGGACTGAGCACGCACCCCTGAGGGGCCCCCGTGTTGAGGATCAGTGTGGCAGATGTGTTGTTACTTACCCTTACCACCTGGGGGCGGCCCGTCAGGAAGTCCAGGATCCAGTTGCAGAGGGAGGTGTTTAGTCCCAGGATCCTTAGCTTAGTGATGAGCTTAGAGGGCACTATGGTGTTGAATGCTGAGCTGTAGTCAATGAATAGCATTCTCACGTAGGTGTTCCTCTTGTCCAGGTGGGAAAGGGCAGTGTGGAGTGCAATAGAGATTGCATCATCTGTGGATCTGTTGGGGCGGTATGCAAATTGGAGTGGGTCTAGGGTTTCTGGGATAATGCTGTTGATGTGAGCCATGACCAGCCTTTCAAAGCACTTCATGGCTACAGACGTCAGTGCTACGGGTCGGTAGTCATTTAGGCAGGTTATCTTAGAGTCCTTGGGCACGGGGACTATGGTGGTCTGCTTGAAACATGTTGGTATTACAGACTCAGTCAGGGACATGTTGAAAAT